CGTGCCGCCTTCATTCTAGGACGTCTCTACCCGATGATATGTAGGCGAAGTAAAATGTCCCTTAGAAATAAGGTGACACTCTACAAAACTTGCATACGCCCCGTCATGACCTATGCAAGTGTAGTGTTCGCTCACGCGGCCCGCATACACTTAAAATCCTTTCAAATCATTCAATCCCGTTTTTGCAGGATAGCCGTCGGAGCCCCGTGGTTCGTCAGGAATGTCGACCTCCATGACGACCTGGACTTAGAGTCCATCAGTAAGTATCTGCAGTCGGCGTCCATGCGCCACTTCGATAAAGCGGCACGACACGAGAACCCTCTCATCGTGGCCGCCGGTAACTACATTCCCGATCCTGCGGACAGAATGGAAAGCAGTCGACGTCGCCCAAAACACGTCATTTCGGATCCTCCCGATCCACTAACGGTGCTTTTAGGTACTTCAAGCACCGGTCACCGTTCTCGTCGAACCCGTCGCTTGCGACGAAGGGCTCGACGAGTAAATTAACTCTCAGACACAGCCCACTGAGTTTCTCGCCGGATCTTCTCAGTGGGTCGCGTTTCCGATCCGGTGGTAGATTCTGCGAAGCACGGCTCTTGCTAGGGTTCGTGTTAGCAACATCGTCAGGTTTGAGCCCCGTGAGCTCACCTACTAAAATTAGGGTTACGCTGACATAGCCGCTAGGGCTATCAGCTTAGGTAGGAAAAAAAAAAAAAAAAAGCTAGCACAAAACATTGAAAGATAGATATTCTGTATATAGATAGAAAAATATTCATAGATCCTATTAAAAATTCAATAACATTAGTCTCACCATGATTTATGTGAAATAGTCCAAAGAATATTGGCATGGATTTTTTTAAAGTTAGCGCGGTCTTAAACACTGCACTTTTACAGTAATCTAAATTGTACTGTTTATACTTTTTATAGCTTCAAATATTGATTACACAACGTTCTGTAAAGCCCGAGAATGTGCGGTAGGTAGGTAATACGGCAGTTTTGTTGTGAAATTTTAATTTCATCAATTGTGTGTTACAAAGTTATATGTAGAGATTCATATTGCTTGCCTTGTAATGTACAACTTCAGAAGACGTTGCTTGCGAATTCTCCTCGTGAAGTTTACGTTGTTATATGTTATGATTTGATAAATGTTCCTTAATGTTCTAGTGTAGTAATTCTAATGAGAACGCGATTGAATAATTTGATATTATCGATTGCAAAATGAGGGATGTAATATCGAATGCGAGCACTGTTTTACTCATAAAAGTCATTAACTTATTGTGTGGGTATATCTTATTTCACCCCGATGGTCTGTGACGTCTACGGATGGCGAACGTAGCACATAGACGCGAAAGACCTGCCGCTACCCACTTGAGATAAAATCAAAGTTTCAGTTGTTTACTGGTGGTAGTACCTCTTGTGAGTCCGCACGGGTAGGTACCACCACCCTGCCTATTTCTGCCGTGAAGCAGTAATGCGTTTCGGTTTGAAGGGTGGGGCAGCCGTTGTAACTATAATTGAGACCTTATAACTTATATCTCAAGGTGGGTGGCGCATTTACGTTGTAGATGTCTATGGGCTCCAGTAACCACTTAACACCAGGTGGGCTGTGAGCTCGTCCACGCATCTAAGCAATAAAAAAAAAATGTTGTATGACGACCAGTGCACTCTACAAACTGGAGCGTATGTATGTCCCGTTTCGTCGGAGAAATATGCGGCTCGCTAATCCCTCTACGGCTTATAACTATGTAAGGTGTGTAAAGATGTTAGTTACCCTTTATAAATAAAACAAATCAGTTCCGATTTTACGACGAATATTGTCAAGTGTCTGCCGTGTTGGGCGGGCTACGTACGACTGGCATAACAAGCGATGTACAACCGCATGTGCTACTCAAACTATGCCCCTACAATCCCTACCGTGCAAATTCACAATACGCCCTAACACCAAGATGGTTAGGCTTCTCTTGATTTTTTTTTAGGCATAACCAAGTCACCGCCTACCGCCCTAGGTCCCATTTGAAGAGACATGTCATAGCGCTCAGGGAACACCGCAGAAGGAGTTCATTCCAGAGCCGGATGGTCATATACGTGGCGAAAAAGTTATCTGGAAACACATTGACCATGTTGTCTCATCCAGGTTACAGATTGTATAGATGAAATCTGCTCCGATGTCGGGAGGTGGGATGATAAAAAGGAGACGGAGGGATCATT